CACAACCTGGAGCTAAAATCTACTACTTTTTTTCCTTATATAATAAATAACTATTTTTATGTTGAAAACGGTAGCAGATTTGTTCTCGAAACGTCCAAAGATGAGTAAAAATTGTTTTTTTTTTTTTTCGGAAAATCATGCAGAATTCGGAAATCAATAATATACAAAAGTTATTAAGAAAGAAACATAAAACTAAAGGAGAAAAAGGGGGTATACCAAGATACTGGTATACTCTGTATATGCTGGCGAATTTTGCCTACATGCATCTCTATAATCTCGTATGATTTTTTGTGTAATTGTTTTCCCTAGAAAACAATTATTCAATACTCGCGGTTGCATGGCAATTATAAGTAGATATTTTTAATTAATCCAACTGTGGCGAAATAAAAGCACGATGGAATTAACTACTTTCTGATGGATCTGTGTTGGATATTTTCCAGCAGGCTGACTTGAGATGATATTGTACTAACGAAAATAAAATGAATTATTAACCAGGAGATCAACATTGAAATGAATTAATTTCCAGTCCGAATGTAACAGTTTGCCTAGCCGGAAGCGTTTGGCGAACCTCGAAGACAAGATCAATACTGACTACATTGAAGTTGAATAGGGAAGAACTTGGGAAATATACGGTGAAGTATCACCATTTCGACATAAACTGCGTGACAAATGAAGTGGTGGTCTACCTGAATATTTCACTTAACTTTGAAATGAAATATTATAAAAAATACTAGTACGATTCTGGAACGGTTTGTTCCATGTTGTGTAACAATCGTTCAAGAATGAGATGGTCTATCTCGAGGTCTATCTACTCTGTCCATGAAGTTTGTGTTTTCAGATAATATACAGGAAGCAACATTGACTCATGACAAAAATGAATATTTTTAAAGTTATCCCAATCATATGGAAACATTTTCTTGGGCATATAATGAACGCTTGATGTGTTTCGCCGAAACGGTTTTGAGATTTTTTCGCAAGCATACTTCATAACATGCAACATCTTTTTTCATGGAAAATTGAAGTTTTTTGAAATGTCTTCAATTTCAGCTGATCTGTTCATTAAATAAGATAGTTTTTTCATTAAATCGGTACAGGGAGGGATTCATCACTTGAATTTCTTTGATATTGAGCGAATACCGATCTACAGGGTAATTCGAGATTCCAAAAAACTTGAAATTCAGTTATGCATATTGTGATTTCAACTTTGAATGCTCTATATATTGTTGTAGAATGATTTATATCATTCCTGTTATCATTTTTGATCTACTGATGACATGTTAACAGAATATTTTGTCCATTATTGAAATCATGTTCAATTCCTTTCTGAATGTCAAATCAGTGATCTAGTGTTGTAACCTCAATCCTCATGTACTTATTGAAATTTTCTTCATGAGCTATTATGCATTGATATAAGTGTTCGCCACACCATTCATTGTTGTCTGTAATATACAAGGTATATCGAGAATTATTGCTTTCGCATGATTTAATTACAATAACATCAACTTCCATGCAAACATTTGTTTTTCATCCGATGAACTGACACATCAGGAAATTTCAGTATCTAGTAGGGCCGCCACCTACATGCAGGAGAGAACGACATCCTGATGGCATGCTCTATACTAACCTTTGTATAAATTGGCGTGGCATTCTCTAACCCACTCTTCCTGAATCATCCTTTAATGGTATAATGATTTCAATATTCGAGAAAACATTCTGTGAACATGCCATCAGGAGATCAAGAATGATCTTTGGTATATTTAGTATCTACCCTGTTGATCGGTATTTGCTCAATATTAAAGAAATTCAAGTGATGAATCCCTCCCTGTACCATTTTCATGAAAAAACGCTCTTATTTCATGAACAGATCAGCTGAAATTGAAGACATTTCAAAAAACGTCAATGGGCTTACATCACAAAAAAATTTCATTTCATAATTCGATAGAACTCACCCAAACTATCTCATCACCACAAACCGTTTCTTGCTGTGAGCTCCCTACGTTTTATAAAAAATTATTGAAATGCCCGATTTTTGGACCTCTGAAAACGAAGCGATGATGTGTCGTCAAAACCCTAATACTGAAACAAGACTATTCCAGAGAGAGATGAATGATACATGATTTCTGACAGAGTGAATTAGCGCGAGATCACAGTTGAAAGAATTAATATATCAGTTGCCTCAGTCTCCGTCGGGCTTTCGATATTTTCTTTTAACTATGGCGAGATGAAGTTTCTATGTCATAAGAGGGTCCGTTTTCAGAAGGTACTATTATTTATGTCCAAGAATAAAACATTCCAGTTAATTTTTCGATCGAATTATGTCGTCAATCATTATTTATGTATAAAAGGATCATTATAAACATGGTTTGAGTTAAAAGTTCTACTAAGGTGTACACGCCCATTCTACATAAGAAAGATGTTGCATGTTAATGAAGTATGCTAGCGGAAAAATCTCCGAACCGTTTTGGCAAAACACATCAAGCATTGACGCCATTCTGCTTTGACTCCAAGCTGGACAGGATATATCCAGTTTTTCATAACCCTGTCAGAGTCAGGCTTATTTTGCTGTTTATGGTGTCTTTCATCCCTTGAGATGATATCTTTGACGTATTTATCATGGTTCTCCTCACTTCACTGCAGATGTATTTAGTTATAATTCCAATTTGAAAGTAGGTTAGTAGCTTTGAGTATTCACACTAGTCCCACCCTGTATATTACACTCCTGAATGAGACTTTGAAATGATTTCATGTTCCCGCATTGGGCATGTAAAATTTGGTTCTTGTACCGAATTGCATCATTTTATCACATGATGTTTCGGAAATATTCAAGAAATATCATCTTCAGGGGCCCTCTTTCAGAAACCGTAGCTCCCTTAGGAGACATTTCTAGACTTATGTCTATTGGGACTTCTATCCTATTTTTGGTCGAAGAAGAAGCCGCTGGAGGAGTTTGGCAGGCTAATTTTGGGACACCCTCATCCTTGACTCGGAGGCACTCGCGCAGGCGATTAAGGATCATCGTGCATATATTAGCGCAAAATTGGAATACCTAAAATACTATGATATCTTCCCTATGAATAGATATAAAAAAAGATTGAGATTGAGAAAAAAAATATACTCAAAAAATAATGTAACATGATATGCTCAAATAGTGGATTTCGAACAATCACCTGATGCCTTATTTCAAGTGACCAGTAGATTTTGGGCAGAGTAAATTATACCAGTGCCGAATGTCCATGTAACTACTCTCCGAAGTCCTTCATTTGCAAATTGCGGTTCCCGATAAATCAGGATCAGGCCCTTCACCGCGTTCCAGGGAATTCTGGACCCTTGTACCTCTCAGCCATCCACTGCATTACAAGGGCAATTTAAATGGATAATATCGTAAATGATGAGGATTCAGTAGTTTAATTTCTCGATAAGCTCGTGGTTTGTTTTTGTGAGTTAAATTCGTTAGATTTTGAATTCGTAAAATTGTGAAATTGTTTTATCCGTCATTCGGTTGCCCCCTTACGAGCAACCCTCAGAAGTCTTCGAGAGTCTTGTGTGAGCAAGAAATGACGGGGGCCTTACCTTTTGACGTGTGATCCCAAACACTTTCTTGGGCCATCAGAAAAATTCCTGCAGTCGCGGGGAATTGAAGCCACGATCGGCAAGCGAATGCGGATTAGAATACTGAGAAGGAAGGCAGATCGTCAGGAACAGCTCTATTTTCAAGAGATTTCATTCTTCTCAGGCTGATGGATCCTTTTTGGAAAACAGATGAAGGAATACTCAATTGCCTAGAACTGATATACTCCAATCTCAACATCTGCATGGCCGAATCAGGGCGATGAGATGGAAACGGAACCTAGAAGAATGGAAGAAAACAAGACAGAGGAAAGCCTACCTGATTATCAGACTGAAGTTGAAGAACAAGAAGAAATGCGTGACGAAAACAGAATCGTTGAAAATAAGAGACCACAAAAGTGTCCAGACCCAAGATTTTGATACAGAATGCATACAGTTTGAGGTGTTTATATTTTTTGTGTACCATTGGAATAGTTATATTAGTATGTACTGGTGTTCAGCTAATGTTGAGTATTTGATATAAAATGATCAGTAGATCGCGATGTTTTTATTCAATCAATCAATCCATTATTTGGCAACTGTCATCTAATGGCATCTCGTAGACGACAACCATTCCTATCAATAAATATATAACGAATGAACACTACATAACCGAACTTGTTTGTTATGAATTATGAAAAACTGCCAGAGTACGTAAGTTCGAACCCCTTTGAGTGTGTTCCGCATGAATCGAAATGTCTAGACAAAGTTGTCTCGTGTGTTCTCTCGAAATTAACGAAATTGGAATAATATGCAAAAATATTCGGTAGCCATGCAAGAAACAGTATATGAACTTCTTTCATTCACTTTGTTTCCGAAATGGAGATTGTCTGAAGTAATTTTCCAAAGCTGATTCACTTTCATTTATTGCCATTCCACAGGAATATATCTAGTTGAATATTTGATGAAAACTATAAATCAACAGCATTCATGTTTCATCAAGAATGATGGAGGAAAGCAGAATTCACATGAATTATTGTTCCATAAGGAATATGAGTAACCGTACAGGGTAATTGTTTATATTTAACGTAAAAGCCATCTTAGTTCATATTGGTATTACAAAAACGTTTAACGAAATGCAAAAAAGCATCGTTTCCAACGGTTTCAAAGGGATATTGACATTGAAATTTGTAGTTGAAAATACATTTTTGTACTGGTTAAAAATAACGTGGATGCCAGCGACATTTTCGCGTTGATTCAACGTGATCAAAAGATTCCATTGGACGTCATTTCAACCGACCGTTGTGGTAATTTTACTAAGTTATTTCGACTTGAGTGTGTTTTCTAGGATCGTTCTGATTGGTCCAAAAATGCGTTCATACCGGAAGATGACCGCGAGGTGCTCAAAGTCATGGTTGTTTGAATTCTTGCACTTCAACTCTCTATTGTTCCAGGAAACTCCGACTTGGACCCATGCCCGAGCATCGCTTCCTTCCGGCCGGGCTCGGTGGCGCTCGGCAGCGATCAGCTGATGCCTGGCGACCGCATCTACAGCGTGAACGGCATCACGACGACAAGAATGCGGCCGGATGAGGTAGCCACCTTGCTGGACAACGTCGACGGCAACGCCATGCTCGAGATCGAGTACTCCTTGCCGAACTACGGTAGGCTTCAAATGAATAACTCATTCGTGGTCACGTGAAAGCTAAATACCTGAAGGGTATCTCACATACAGTAATGGATTTGCGCCTTCGAAGTGCCCACCTGTTGTTAGGTTCAAATATTTAGAATTTTCATTTCATCATCTAACCGAGCATCTAACTGAATGATCTGAGACTAAGGAGTCTCAAAAGACGGATTCTAATAGTTGATATCCAGGGTATCGACGTACCCTAATAGCACACAACGTCCTAGGGACGTCCCTACTTGGTACAATTCAAGTCCGAAATCCCGGACCAAAAATAAGTGTCCTTGGGGCGTCCCATCCCGTACATCTCATGCAATATCCAAGCAAGGACGTCCACGGAATGTCCCAGCTGGTACATCATTTCAAATGTCCTAGAAATAGCATCCCTTAGATGTCCCACGTGGTACATAGTGTAGAATGTCCAAGCAAGGACGTCCTTGGTATGTCCCTGATGAGAAAGGATCTTAAACGTTTTTTTTAGGGACATCCATCGGATGTCCCGAGTAGTACATATTCTGGCATGACTTCAGATCTTATATAAAGCCCCTTCTGGACAATCATGAAATGTACCTGATGGTACATTCCTTCAAATATCTCTGCACAGACGCCCTTAATATTTCCAGGATCGTATAACAATCGAAATGGATACGACGACGTGGAACCATCGAATGGTCAGCGCGTTATCCGGATCTCACACCATTAGAGTTTTGCTTATGGGGACATGTCAAAAATATTGTTCACAAAAAAGACCAGACAGTCTGGGGAATTTGGAAATTGTTATCCGAAGAGTGATGTAGAATATACCACGAGAACACATCAGAAACAGTCTAGATGCAGTGTATAATCGTCTAGCTCATTGTCAGGGGTCAAATGAGTAGTCTCTCTTCTTGTTCTTGTTATGCTTTAGTTATCACTGTATTATCTTTGTAAATATCGTAAATAAAACAATCTAATAGTATATCAGTGAACTTTTCAAGAAATTCTTGATCAAATGATATAAAAATATATATAGTGTTCCATTCAAAATAAAGAAGTTGATAATAATTCCGGAAAAACTGATAACGTGGCAACATTGGCGATATAATTTTCCGAACATTTCAAATCAGCAATTTTCTTGAAATTCAGAGAGATCTAACGACTGGTTACTGAGATATATGGATAGTTACCGAGAGAGTTCCATACATTTGATTAACACTGTATATCTGATTTAATAAATCGGGATGTCTACAAATATATGTAAGTGCATTATTTTGATTTAAAAGGGACTTGATTACCAATAAAAAAGTTTGCGTCCCGAGTGCTACTGGCCCGAGGAACAGCAATGGGCGAGTGGACTTATGATGAATTATTGGCATTCAATTCCTCCACTGTATCGTTAGGGACCTAAATTGATTTTTTCAACACTTTTTATGCTTTTTTCATGTGAATAATGAGTCTACGCGTTGTTCGAAGTTGTTGAAATTCAGAGCTCATTTCAAACGTACCGTCATGGCCGCCATTCGGCGATACACGATAAAACATAATAGGAGGAACCCATGATATTATAGTTCATTCTCGACATTTTCCAGCAAACAGCATGTCCAAATATTTCTTATACTCCATGGTTGGCAACATTGTGCTGAATGCTAGAACTTATACAAGGCCACGCCCAAAATTCGTGCGCCGTTGTTGTCACGTTTACCCGAGCGTTCACCGGTTCAAATGTCCTTCAGTATGAGTTGATATAATTATTATTCACACAAATATATTATAACCAATAAGCCACAACACAATTATTATAATTAGGAATATTACCACTAATACATGATTGAGGATTTATTGATTATTGGTTGGATAATATTTCTGAAGTTCCCAATCGTATTTCAATATATGGCAACTGTGCAATGGTCTGCCCCTATCACTAAATCGTGACGTCAGTTTCTATTTCATTATTGATGATTTCGACACCTTGAAAACGACCGAAAGATTCTGAAAAAATATGAAATTGAAAGGTATTTGAGTGATGATTCTATTCAATAAATCAAAAGAAATTAGTTTACTCGCTTATTCCAAGAGGTTATTGATGGTACATAGACAATTTCATTTCTGACCGATTTTAATAAAATTTTGTTGAATTTTCCGAACAGAGTAAATGTAGATACCGATTCATTACCTTCCCGCTATATTTGAATCGGGTATACCGTTGATTATATGAGTTTTGTTGTTGCTAGATTGTTGCTATGCATTCCTTAATCCATATATACTTGTGAAATGTATATATGGATTAATATATGATGTCCCAAGGGAGTTATGACCCACTTTATTTGATAGCGTATAACTATAATGATATAAGCTTATATAATATCTCGGTCAGAAATAAATAAATCAGATCTAACATATTGTAATATAATGATAAATCATTTTGTAACGACTTAGCAAAGTTATTTAATATTTTTAATCCGCTTTCTTTAACAAAAGAGAGCTCTGAAACAAGACTGCCACTGAACTCAATTTCTATGTGCCTGTGAAATTAGATAATTGTATCTAAATTTCCTTCACAGATTTGACTCTGCCGAACCATAGTTATTCACAAAGTAGTCTTCTTTAGAGTCATAATTTGAGTTACTGAAACACCGGAAACTAATTACACAATAGCCGGAAACCATAAGTAAGAACAAAAACGATAAATTACATTCATTACATATCTTACAACGATTATTGCTCTACTACGAAACTTTGCAGCGTTCTGCCACGTTGATCTTCAAGTAATTCATATGATTTATCTCGTCATGTAGGTACCTCAGAATAACTAATGAGTTTAGGTGATCATTATCAAGTAGTATAGTAGTGAATTATACTTGCAATGTTTATATGGGTGTATTATTATATAACAATGTCTGGTACCATCATTCCCACCAAAACGACTCAATCAATGCTTGGTATTTCCATCGACAATATTCTTTCATGGAAAAATCATGTGCGATCCATCGCGAAAGCTGCTTCACAAAAACTCGGATTTTTATTCTATCTACTTTACACCTCAACAGCCTTTTATGATCTATAAATCACAGGTGCGGCCAGTTTTAGAATACTGTTCTCTTAGATTCCATCCAGAGAAGAGCGGTGATGCTCACTCACTAATATTTTGAATTCATTCTTTCGTTGACAACCTTGAAATAGCTCGTTCGTCTATAGAATGTTGAATCTTTGGCATTCTTTGCCAATGGAAGTATTCCCATGAACTTATAACCTCCGAAAGTTCAAATAAAAATCCAACACCTATACCACATCTCTCTATTATTCTTTGAACATCATAGGAATTTCCTGTCGTGCGCTACAAGAGATACAAAAAATACAAAACAAACATTTTCGTTCAAAAAGATGCTGAAGATATCTGAATATGGGTCATTTGAGATACTTGCATAATGTTCTTCTAACACATTCTCATCACGACCCGAATCACCTTCCACAGCGAGTGCTGAGAGGTGTGACAGAGTATGCATTTTCCCTAGATTTAGGTTAGATTAGATGGGAATTGGTTGGGCTATGAGGTCGGAAGAGGTCAGGACGCTACATTATCATTCGATAGGACAACGTTGAGGACGATGCACACGGCTGCAAATAGAATATTCATGGCCGTATTACGGCCAGCGTTCGACTCGGTCACATAATGGAATAATCTGCGGAGAACGTGCCGACCGTGAAACGAATGCAGTAACATCGAACGACATTTTGGTGTCTGTGGACCGTCCGTGTCTTGGAAGTGTACTTGAGGGACACCGAAACAGCTACGAAGTTAACAGTGGAAGGTGTTTGAATGCAAGGACACTGATCAAAGTGAACACTGGAACACAGAACTGACAGAACACAGTTGAAAGAATTAATGTATCAGCTAGCGCACTCTCCGTCGGTTGTTTGAAATTTCCAGATTAAAACCGTGCCGCTGACATAGCTGCATTCGTTTGATTTACGACGTTTTTACCGGGGAAGTCAAATTCTATGAAACTTATTCATGGATATCATCTACACAATTTGCATCATTGGCAGTATCAAAATTCCTTGGTGCAAATATATTCACTATTATTCACCTCTCATTTCATTCCTTATATGTTATATCGCGTACCCTAGGAACTCTACATGTATTATGAAAATTTCATACAACAGTCGTGGATAAATGATTCTACTAATCATTTCTGAGCTTTTGGGTGTATGATAAATTGACATTCATCATACAGGGCGTGGAAATGAATTCTGAATTGAGACTCTATCACGAATCTGCGATTAGAGGTCTATAAAAATCACAAGTTTCCATCGTTCAAGTTTGAACCCCCTGATTGGGTATGAAAGTGTTGAAAAGGAATATTCTCAGATAAATTATGAACATACAAAAATGGATATATATTTATATAAAGCAATACATTGAGAATGCGAATTCTCAATGTATTGCTTTATATAAATATATATCCATTTTTGTATGTTCATAATTTATCTGAGAATATTCCTTTTCAACAATTTCTGAGCTGTTACTATTTGAAGGCTGTCGACCGACGAACGTCGAAGGAACACTAGTTGCACCATCTATCAAGGTATTTACATAATATTTTCCAGTGCGTAACATTTATTCTATTGACATCAAATTCTCTCGCCCTATCTAGCTCAATACTGTATCTCAATAGCTCCACAATTTAGAAATTATCTTACAATATATACATATATACATTTTATTTTATGCTTTGTATTTCGAAATTGTGGAAAATGATCGGCTTATACTATTTTTATCAATTCCTCAAAGGAGGAAGGGTTTTCTGGGGGTAACTTCAACATCATCACATCATCCACAAGGATCAATTTTGGCATCAACATTATTCCTTCTTCATATAAATGATCTGTTGGGAGTAACAACTTGCCCCATCCACAGTTTTGCAGATGATAGTACTCTCCATACTGCGTTCTCTTCCAGAATTCCCATTTCTTCCCAGGAAACTAACAACTCACGGC